CGGAATCGAACGGTTTTCTGAAAGCTGCCATTAAAGAGACCACCGAAGCAGTCCATATTCTTGACCGCAGCGCTACATTGTTTGCCAGCCGATTGCCAGCCAAGAGAACACACTCAAGATGGTTCAAGGAGAGACTAAAATCTGCGGCCGAGTTGAGGTTTCAGTCTGCGATAACACAGCGAAGTAAGTATTTTACGAAACCACCTAAATGATGGATAACTCAGTTGTAACTAAATCAGAAATGTTTGTGATCGATCTTAGGACTCCCATTTCCTCGCTGCGCGCCGGTCACTAAAGAGATATTTAGGTACTCTAAATGAACAAAAGACGTGGCGGTAATTTGCAGGAAGCTAAAATTCAAGGTGAATTAGCTGCCGCTAAACACGGATATTGGATTCAAATGGCAGTGCAGGAAAGAGCAATTGATTTATCCAGAGATGTGTAACGGCGATGAAGTCATGAGCATGATAATTCGAAATACGCCTTGAACCTATTTTGACATTTTGGAAAATTAAATGCATACCTTGATGTGCAGATTTTTCGTTGATAAATTCATCCCGAAAAAAGTCATCCATGACGTAAATTGCCAATTAATTGAAAGGAGCTGTATTTGGGGTGCGTAGGAAGGATATAATGACGTTAAAAAAGAAAAGAAAGGAGAGTATTGATGTTGGGCAGGATAATTTTAATGTTGGCTGATTGCTAAGTTCCGAATATCAAAACACGATCCTCTAACTGTTGCATCTGGCCTGACAACGGACTCTAATGTTCACAAAAGCTAATTTTTTACTTAGCGATTGGCCGTGGAAATTTCCGCAACACCTGCGCTGTCCAATGGAATATTCTAATGAGAAAACATGTCCTCTGCTCCTTTGATTCTTGTCCTTAATGGTGGTCCAGTTATATATTGTTACTGGTCCACTCTGAGGAATGCTTTCTTTTTCGTCTCTCTTGAGAGTCTCTCTAAAAAGTCTGCCGAAAACGTAATTATTCCCAAAATGAATTACTCGATTCTTAATTTTGTAAATTAATGTCCTTCTTCCGTTGGTGATCAAAGAACCTTTGCGCCGATGGGCTTCCTATACACCAGAGGCGTGGCGTGAGCTGCGATGTATCGATTGTTATGCCATTTAAACCTATGGTAAAGAATCGATTATTAAGGTGTTCGCTGCGAACACCCTATTTATCGATTCTTTTCCATAGGTTTAAATGGCATAACAATCGATAAATCGCAAAGCACGCTACGCAGTACACGGCCCCAATTTCGTGATTTTAAAAATGGTTTTTTCATGAAGAAGTTTATTTGTTATTCATATCATTGCCTTAAGGCTCTGGCTTCTTATCAGTTTTGAAGTTGCATCGCATTATAAGATAGCATTTGGTGTCCAGATTCAATTATTGTGTCCCTCGGTGTTTCTCTTGGAAAACAGCCAAAAAAAGTTAATTTTTTACGCTTTTGCTATGATTTAACTATGAGCGCAAAGTTGGCTGCTTTTTTTCATTGAATATGCTGTCTTTTATGATGCACGCGATGGCATGTTCAAGGGAGGCAAACCCGCCAGCTTTGCGCTCATAGATAGATCACAGCAAATGATCCTTCGTAAAATTCATAGGTCTAACAATTTAGGGGGAAAACACAGGGAGAGCCAACTTCGGGCACTGAATACTGCCCTTATCACGTGATACAACTTCAATACTGAGTTTAAGTCTTCAAGTCAACACACTGAGAGGAAAAAATGCCACGAGGAGACTTTTTTTGCGCATTTAAAATGTTTGACCAATTTTTGTTCGGCCTTTTTTGGCCCTATGAGGGCACCCGCACCTGCGGATTGAAACTGATAGACAAATAGGGCAAAGGAAAAATGGAGGGATCCCATCTGTTGAAATGGGTAGTTGTTAGACTAAGGGTTAAAGTGATGGACTAACTATAAGGGGTGCTCTCCTGCGGGTTGCCGTTGGTTTATTGCTTACCTCATTCGTTCATTGCAACCACCCGCTTCCACCAATAGGATCGCTCCATTTTCTTTTTCCTCTTTTGTCCGTCGCTTTGTCTATCAATTTCGATGATCAGTCTCTTTAGATACATGTCGGGTAGGTTTTTCCTCCTCCCTCTCTTCCCTCGCACAGCTCGTTCTCTTCGCCAAAGGCTGTTTTTCCGAGGTGCGTCACAAATTCCTCCGCGTGGAAAGTAGGTGATTCGTAGCTGTTTGTCAACTGTGTACTCCTTGTTTCTGTCCAAGCGATACACTCGTCGGATGCTGCGGTTCGATAAACTTCCCCGAAAGCTGGCCACCGGCCAATAATCAGCCTCTCAACTGGTTTCGCTCATTATGAAAGTAAGGAACAACTGGACGTACTTCTGCCAAACGGAACTAAGTGCATTATGACGTGAGCCCTGTTACGCATGTACTCCTATGGGTCTCAGGGCTCATGTCTTGATGCACGTAGTTCCGTTTGGCAGAAATGCGTCCAACTGGCAAGACTCGTGACCAGTTCTCTGAATTCTGCCAACAGCACTCAAGGACGCAACCGAGCCTGCGCGCCATGTTCCTCGACAGTGTATTCGCGCCAGGAACGAAAATAATAACAATATATCGAGCGAGTGGACATCGCGGTTCCATGGTATATTCGCGCCCATTCCGGCAATCAGCCCTTGCGTTATTTGAATTTTTCAAAGTAAATTTCTTCTAGTCGACGGGAGTGCCTCAACTTTGAGTCCGATTCCCCCGATGCGCGGTTAAAATTATTACCTTCTTGCCAAGCGTGATGAAGCTGCTGCGAATTTTTGAGACGCAATTGATTGATTCTCGAAGACGTGACGGTAAAAATAAGATTAAAATAAACGCGTGCACCGTGAAATTAATGTGCTGTTTTAGAATCTATGATGTCAAAATCAAGTCTGCGGTGATCCTTGGAAGCTGGATTGGTTGCTCCCGTGAATTTGCAATCCCAAGACTTGGAGACTTGGAATTTAGGAATGGCCCCAATAGGTCTGAAATGTTGGTATTTGCAGTTATCTCCGCTGTCCGTTCATACTTCTCTGCATTTCTCTCTTTTCTCCCTCTCCCGAACAAATCGGGTTTGAAACAAGGATAGGTATGGTCAATCGGTCAATCTTACCAGGAATATGTTGAGTTTAAGAGCTTTCCCCAGAGTGATTATTTGAATGGGAGCACGATTTCCAAATTTTCCTAAGGGTGGAACATTGGCGGATCCAGCAAATTGGCAACACTGTTATTCTCCATTTAAACCTATGAAAATGTATCGATTCTTGGAGAGGCTAGGTGCCCCGACAAGAATCGATTATTTGACATATGGTTAAATGGAGGGAATCCGTTGTTGCCAAATTGCTGGATCCGCCCCTGGGGTGGAACCTTCCAAATAGCCTTCCCATCACCACGGGAGGACTGCACTGTTAAAAATCGTTGATTCCGTCCGACGGAAAATCCGGAGTGAGAATGAACACGGGAGTGCGGCTCAGCGCGTAGGTGCTGAGACGGGCTGCATGTGAAGTCAAAGCACTCCGCACCGGAGCTGCAGTACGGCCCGGAGTCACGCGCACCTTCTCTCCCTCGCACTAGCGCTATATACTGTCTCTCCTCCCCTTTAAGCCTACCACTCTCAGAATGAAAATGAAAAATTTAAAGAGAAAAACATAGAAAAAATAATAGAATAGTGGAAATAATAGAATAGTCGAAATTATGGTATAACAGAGACAAAAGAAAAGAAATAAAATAAAGTAAATCAAATATATGATAAAATAAAGTCAAAGACTAAATTGAAGTAAATAATTAGAGGGAGCAAAGAGATGAAGAAAAAAATAAAATAAGGGAAACAACTAAATGATGTTAAAGAATAGAATGAATTTTAAGAGTAAAGTGAAGTCCAAAAATTATGATGAAGTATTAAAAGAAATCACAGTAAATATAAAACGAAGTAAAGGAATGAGAAGTAAATAATTAAAGAAAAAAAAATGAAGTGCTTGAAAAAATAAAATAGAGTGAAGAAAAAATAGAGACAACAAGGAAATAAAACAAAGTAAAACGATAAAATAGAGTTAAAAAATATAGTAAAGTAAACTAAATACACGACAAATCCAGGTAGATTGAAAATATTTTAGCGGCCCGTTCAAATCGACGTTAAATACCGTTTTTGTGTCACATTCATGCATCATTCGCTATAGCTCAATCGGTAGGGTCGTCGGTTAATGTTAGGTAGGTCCCGGGTTCAAATCCCAATGTAGGTAGAAAATTTCTAACCTTCAAAATCGGTTGAATCACGTACCAATGGTTTCATTATTTTTATTTTTCATGGTTTCAAAAATTATTTCCACAATTAACCCCTTTCCACCATCCCCTAGCTGCGAACCCCTAATTTTGCGGCTCCCGCGAATCCGTCCGGCGTCGGAGTGATTTCCATGCGTACGGCACCCAAAATCCGTCCAGCCGATTCTCCGTCAGAGTGACTCCTCGGTCCGGCGAAGTGAGGGCCCGTTCTTAACTCGCGCTTGTGCTGAGTCTCACTCCGTTTTTTTTAACAGTGTGAGAGAGGGCCCCGCCCCGCCCCCTTCTCAGGTTTTCTCTGGATCGGCCACTGATATGAACACTTTACAACTAACCAAACGATAGACAGAAGAGAAACGTACTTCTTAGATTATAAAACAGAACAACTGGTCACGACTAGAGACAACTTACAATATAACTTAGACAACAATGGACAACGTTGTAACTTACATACTGATCGGTAGTTCATATTTCACCCGTAGCAACGCTGTTACAATATTGCAAGGAATAGCAGCATTCGCTTCAGTGTTGTCGTCGAAATTTTATGGCTTTTCGCATAGTAAGAATCGTATTCTTCTTGCGATATCTCACAAAAACCTGTTTACAGTATTTAAACAAAGGGCCTTAACCTGGGCCTTAAAAAATAGGCCTTACTTGTCGTGGACTCTGGATTACTTCAGGAAAGGACAAAAAACAATAAATAACATAGGGAAGACGTCTGAATTAAAAAAAGGGTGTACCTATATTTTTGAGCTGAATGGGAAGAAGAATACATTTTAAACGTCGCGGTGCATCACAAAGGAGCGACAAGTGATTAAGTTGCATCAAAATATCTATAATATGTGTAATTGAGGGAAAATACCTCTAAAAAAATAGAATTACATTTTTGAGCACGTTCAAAAGGAAAAACTATCACGTTCACCGCTCCAAAATTGACCCAAAGATTGCCTCCGAAGGAAGATGAAAGGTAATGGCGGAATGGAAGGAAAGGCAAATTCCAAGTGTGAGGCCTGAAAAATGACGAGCATGCGTTAGACGTTGCCTTCCATCTAAGGAGATCAAAAAATAATGAAAATGTCTTATATATAATTTAGGATGTAATAATAAGTATGTTTCCTTCGGCATTAGCCCCGACTATAGCCTTAAAATAGGTAATTAGGCATTGGCAAATACCACGCAAAACACCGGATAACTTAATAGGGTTCATTACCTTGCATGATACGAGCCTTAATTGAGGAGTTTGGAGGACTAGGCGCATAAGAGCAGTTTTTGCCATTTCGAGGAATCTTTGCTTGAAGTTTTAAAATTACATGGATCCTTATGGCGGAAAGAAAGTTCAAACTGACTTTTTGATGCTTAAAAATTAGAATTGGGGGCGAATTGTTCACAAACTATGCATTAAGACTAGTTTTACTAGAAATAAATAATATCACAATTTTTTAAAAACCGCACTCATGCGCCTTGTCATCAAAGCCCATGAATTATTATTTTGCAAGACATTATTAATTATCACAAGAGATACTTTTACAAGTAATTGATACAAGCCTTAGGCCATTTTGACTGGATACCGTTTATCATGACAAGCATAGTAGACCGAATTTATTTCAATGCATCTGCTACACTCCCGTTATTTTCTTATATACCATCACTTTGAACTTACCACACCTATCGTCACGCATTACAAAATAATCCTAAATAGAGGCAGATATTGTGTCGCTCAGTGCGCACGCAGAACTCCTTGCTCATATTCGTACTTGTTTCAATCAATGGTTTAATTTATTTTTCTCTCTTTTTTTTCAGGAAAGCCGGATTCGACGCTATCCAACAGCGGAAGAAGGAGGAGGAGAGAAAAAAAGAGATGGAGAAGAGAAAAGCCAACCCTTGGGGGCCTTTCAAGAGCAAGGATCATTTTACCAGTTTGCATCATTGCTGAAGAATTACAAGTTAACAAAAAAAATTTCATGCAACTTTATTTAAAACAAATTCATATTTCAAAAAATCTCATCAATTTTCATCAAACGTTTTATCGATTCTCTGCAGATTATTGGATTAACAATCTAACATATTAGCTTTCTTGGTGCGGTAATAATGATATGTTCAACTCTAACTGACAGCTCTCCTCATAAATTATTATTAAAATTAATTGCAATAATCTTGGTTTTTTTTTTTATTAACAGTGAAACTATAACGCATACTTCCCATATTTTCATGTGCCTTTATGATAAAATCATGATCGTGCAGTTCTTTTTGGGATAAACCTACCCCATCGTTCCCGTATCATTTTCCTTCACTTATTCGCTCGTGGAAGCTGTAAACGCTTCACTTTCAACATTTTTTTAGAAGTTTCCAAAAAGTCCTCATTATCAGTAAAAGTTAAATCAAAATATTCTACGTCAAAATACTAGCCACTAATTCATTTTATTATAAAAAAATAGTAATAAAAAGAAAGTCTCAGCAATATGGTAATTGACTATCCTCTTTCAGGACTGAAGAGCTTATCTGTGGCATTGTTCACGTAAAAAGTACAGTACAAAAAAAAACAGATCATTCACAATCGGTACAACAACCAATCTAACGTTTGAGGTCATCATCGATTCCAATAAACCTACGACAACAAAGAAACCAAAAGATCTCCATACTTCAATTATATAACTGGAGGTATCTCTATCAAATGGAACTAGGGACGAGTTGGAGAGATGGGGTGTGCTCTATAAAGATATTTTCTATAAAGATATTCTATATAATTCTATTTTCTATAAAGATATTTTATCATTGACACCCTCCAACGACACTCCCGCTTAAAATCGTCGGAAATAAACACACATCAAGAGGAAGTAGCGAACTTTTTTTACAACGGTAAACCTCACTTATAAATAAAAAGATAAAAAAATCCAATTGCAAGGCCAACATGATTGCACCTCCATCGAATTTTCAATTTTCTTGACGTTGCAGTTTTTACCTTGAGTGTAGCTCGTTTGAATTCGCCCGACTACTTTGACGCATTCAAACAAAAAAAAAGAAAAAAAAACATAACGAAAAAAATATTTTGGTTAAGGTAAATTTTCGGTGCTGCCAGATCAGTTCTCTAAATTTAGTAGCAAATTATTTTAGAGGTTCCTTGGCATCGTCTTCCATATAATGAACTAAATAACGCAACGCCGGGATCCTCCAAGCACGATTAGTTTCATCCATTCCCTTCCGCACAAGGAAGATTTTTTGAGACAGATTTGGACACTGACAAATCCAGTCCGTACATTTCCAATTTCAAACGAGGGAGAGGGGGGTTGCTCCCCCTTTCTGTGCCAAAACAGAGGGAAGAAAAAGAATGAGGGAAAGAAATATCAGAAAAGGAAAGAAGACGGAGAGTAAAAGTTCAAACAAGTTACAAAAATTTTAGTTTGCTTTTGTTGCCATTCGTTAAAGTCTCCGGAAATATCTATTTTGATTGCCGATACGCGACGCCAACGCCCTGATAATCCTACATTATACAGTTATTTCGTATCATTGAGGGATGATGGATATGGCTGCTACCAGTGCTACCTCCCTCCCTTCCCCCTCTACCAAATTATATTCGACTTAATGGTTAAAAACTTCGGTGTTTTTCTGATTCTCAAAGCACTGGGGGATCCAGGGTTGAACCGCCATTCTATAGGATTGAGCTTCATAGATAAAAAATGAAGCCTAATATTAATGGTAATAATTTTGTAAAAGTAAAGCCTTTTTAATGTTTTTGACCGTGAGCACCCCCAGTTAGAGCTACGGTCCCCCTAGGCACTAACCGGAGTCAATACTAACCTGAGGTGAGCGTTGGAAGGCAAGAGCACTAAGAGGCATTTATATTTGTAGTTTCATTGTGTGAAGGGATAAATGACCCTATTACCGAGTTTTGAACCAAATTTTTTCTTTGCAATCTCTCCAACCACGAACAAAACTGCCACCAAAAATCCTGGAATCATTCATTTGCAACAGAAATCACAGAACTGTCAAAGCACAAACATTAAGTTTGAAATCAATTGAAGAGTTTTCAAGGAAATGGGTGCATACCAAAATTTTGCGTTTGAGAAAATGTAATCGAAATTTTCATATTTACTTTCTGAACATTGACTGTGACTTACATCGGAGCTTGGATTATAATACCTAATGTGAGTCACCGTTAGTCGCCAGGAGGTAATTATGAAAACTTTAAATGCACTTTTCCCAAGCGCGATTTTTCGATACGGAACCTTTTTCCTGAAAGCTTTTCAATATTGTCCCTAACGCACAACAGCGGAGTTCATAAATCTTCAATAAATTAGAGAGATGAAATAAATAAGGATTAACCGCAAAAAAATTGTGCACTACTGATTGTAACTTTTTTATGGTAATGTCTGCTCCTACCATATATTTCCTCCTGAAATATTACTCTGAAAATTCCGAGTGAAAATGAAATTATTGCCGAAAGATTTCACGTGAAATTACAGAGCAATATCCTCTTGAAAAAATACAATTTCTGCGAAAATTTTCAAAGATCAAAATCGAGATGTGCGGTTTAGCAGTTTTACAATCCTTATATAAACTAGCGTACAACTGCGATGCTTCTGAAAAGTTCATGCTCTACCTATCGTACAAGAAAAAGTAGACTGAAATTGGACTATATTTTGCAATTCGGAACTAGAACTTCTGGCTTAGTTTAGACACAACGTATGCACCATTACTTCCTCTATACATATAAGTGTTTTTACGTATGAAACAGAAATCGTAGTTCTTAATTACAAAATGAAGTCCAATTAGCATGAATGAATGGTGGCGATGATTTTTTTATCTATTTTATAGACAAACTCCTCGAACAAAAAATGTGTTACATACCTAAAAATAATAAGAAAAAACATCCCTGCATGTCGTCGAGATTGACGGAATGTTTGGTGACCTCGTTGACAACGGATTTACTCCAACAGCGGTCTTTTTTCGGCAACGCGTCCGTAATCCATTTGTGGATCAGACCCATCTGGTGCATCCTCCGAATCCTATCGAAGTTGGACAAACTTACATCAAACTTTCAATGATTCTGGCTTCATATTTTTTCTCTTAAAAAATTGCCTCGTGGTTTACAAGGTATTCAGCGGAAAAAGGGAATTGGAAAAGGAAATGTCGCATTCGAGTGCAGTTTCAATATCAATATCGAATGCGATATTTTTCCTCTAAAAAAACCCTGCCTTTATTACGTTGAATTTGTTTGTCAAAATTGGTAAGTGAATTCTTTAATCTCCTGACAATAGAATTGCGATCTCGAAAGTCGAAAAAAAATGACAAGTAGCTGAAAAAATGGAGCGAATCGATGCGATGTAGGTATCGCACGTCGCTCTGACACAAAAAATGGCGTCTGTCGAATCACCTTAAATCCGAAAAGATGCGACTTCCAAACTTAGAGTGTATAAAATGTGCAATTACTGCGAACTGAGTTCAGCACATTTCAATGGGATTTTTGTCAAAATTGATCTTTCTTTTACATTTGAAAACCTTCATTTTAATTAAAATTTTCGTTGCTGTTAATAAGGAAAAGATTTACACACTCTGACATCCAAAACAATTTTTTCGCATAAAAAAAAAAAAAATAAACGACTAAATTTTACCAACATTCTCTATTAAAAGTAACTTTGAAAAACTATAAATACAAGAAACAACATACCTTTCATTGATTATGCCCAAGTAGGGGCTACCCTCAGCGATAATCATGGCAATAGATTCCTCTATAAACTCGTCTCTACCTGTAAGGTTTAATATAAAAAATAGCATTAAAATTAACGTATAACTCCATGAAAACTTTATTTCGTGTGTGTTTTTAGTCAAGCTTTTATTAAAGTACCCCAAAATAAAAAGTTAAATTGAATTTATTACCTAAACATTGTTTTCGAACGCAAGTAGGCCTGAAAAGTATCGCCCTTGTGAAAAAGAGCTGTAAAGCTATATCCATGTAGGTACAGTTGCCAAAATATAGAGTTCATGATACAAGTAAGTTATGAATATAAAAACCTCAGTTTCTGATATAAACACGAATGCCAAATAATTCTGCTAAACCCCTTCACTGAAAAAAACTTCGGCCGTGGAAGCCGTGCTAACGAGCTTTATAGACATACCATCCATACGTTCCGGGCTCAGAGGCCGAAAGTTCCGGGCGTAGTACCTGAAGCAATCAAAGCTACGGCTTCAGCACTCGGAAGTTTCAGCATAGCTGAGCCCGGAACGGACGGTATGTCTACGAGCCGTAATTTATTTTTTTTTTCATTGTTGGATTTTTGTTTACTTTTATGCAGCAATTTCCAATGAATTTCAGGCAAAGATTTGCGATTCATCCATGCCACTTTCATTTTTATAGATATGGACCAAATTAAGCCAAAATCTGTTAACTGGTCAAGAATTTTAGTTTCCTTTTTAGCTGGCATTACTATTTACGAGAGGCTGAAATTTCTGATAAGTCACGTTCTAGAAACGCATCCAGAAAAAAGAGAATATCACTTAATTACGTAACGCATTGAAGGAGTGGAGTGGAGTCTTCCATCTATCTACGTCATGGCTGCGTAACGCAGATGGAGGGAATCCAGATGAACGTTACGTAACGTTAAATCCCGGTAAAATCCGAGCTTTTAGTGATAAATACACCCGCGGGTAAGACGAGGCTAGCCCTTTACTGAAGGTGATGTTCTCGGAGTTGGAGCAAAACATGCGGGTCGTGAATTGGTGTTCGTATATTATATCTGACTGTATAATATAAAATCATGAGTGACGCGTAACGCATGAAGCCTGAAGCGCGAAGCGATCAGTTAAGCATGTGATATAATAAAATTTGAGGCATGGAAAAGGCAATCACCGGATCTTAATGTATAAATGAGGGGGGCTGCAAATTTATCCGTGCGTGTACCTCCGTGACGGTTTGTCGTAACGGGTTGGTAAGTGCCTGCGCCATTTTGTCTAGCTCTATCTTTACACTGGATGGCCTTAGACCTACCTTGCCAGGCCTTTTTTCTCGATTATTTTAGATCGAACGAAGTCCAGGATCGCGGGGACGAATTAGGAGTCGGTCCCAAGGAAGCCGAATCTCATGGTCCTCGCACCATCCCCCCTCCATCTGACTTCCTGGAGGGTATAGAGAGGGTCCGGGGTCCGTACTTCTAAAGTTGGGGTATTTGTCAAAATTTTGGAATTATTTCATAGGGATCAGAAATTACAGAGCATTTTAATCATAAAATCAACACCAAGAAATCCAAAATAGGTCCATCCGTTTCCGAAGTACTGACCCCTAAAGGTGGCGGACAGAGCCCTCCTTCAATCAGTGCAAGTTCGCTAAATTGATGTCGAGGCTCAAAAAAAGGAAAAGCTGGGAGGCTACGATAACCTACCCCAAGAAATCCGAGTAAGAGGGTCTAGTCGTCCCCAGAGGTTTCTCTGATGGGGATGCAGGATGCAGGGGGATCCCTTCAATCATGCAACGTCACAAACCGAGATATGCGTTTCTGCAGTTCCACCATTATAATCTCGTCTCTGTTACATTAGCTTTAGACTGGAAAATGTGAGAGAGAAAACCCACTGCTTTACACCAAGTATTTTATAAATTGTATTTTTACCGAGGAGAAAATCGCAGCGATCATGGAGAAGAAAGTCTTTTTTCATGTAAAATAGGAGATTCGTCCGCCTTTGTATAATCACGTGGCGACCTCCTCTTACTTGATCCATCACCTTTGTGTTTAGGTAAGGGTGCAGTTTAGCGTGCTTGTAAAGTTCTTTCAGTCTTGACCCATCATCTGCTTGCTGAAAATAAATGAAAGTCGAATAAAAAGGTGCTGAAAAAAGGTGCCTGAAAACAAAATACAGTAATACTACCCTGCCGTGGTAAGGAAGAACGCCGTAGGAACATACGAGAGTTGCCAAATGTCCCTTGATAAACCATGTTCTTTTGACAACATTCATGCATATTTTTCCTTTGAAATTTTCAGATATTTTAGATTAAATTACGTACAAAATGTCTGAAATTTTTTAAAAATAATATTTGCAATTTTCCCGGTAAATTCGAGTTTTATCGAAGGAAACTTGGCAACGTCTGAAGGCTTATACGGCGTTCTTCCTTCACTCGATAGTACTGGTAGGTATGTAAACTTGACTTTTCATTCGGGACAGAATAAAAAAAATGAATTGATTAATCAATCTGACATATTAATTTTATTCTTTGAGATTTTATTGTTAAGATGTAGACTTCAAGAAGTGAATGACAATTTTTTTTCTTCAATATTTGTCTGTACGTTAGATTCAATTTAAATATTGGGAAAACATACTGCATGGAGAATATACTGTAAGTCAACTAACTTACTTTCAAAATCGGGATCAACGTTGATGCTTCATCTATGCCCCATGTGTACGTGTCTTTTTTGGCGAGAAGTTCGTCTAGATTTGTGACCACATCTTCCATTTGTGGAAATGTTAAAAAGGCCACCAAATTCCCGCTGTAAGTCGTAACGATAACCAGAACAACAAGCCACCACGTGCCGATAACGATGCGACCACTGTCTGCTTCGGGCAAATGTGTGCCACCTGAGAAAAATTTTAAATTTTATGGATCGTTTTTACTTCAAGGTAAAAAAATTTTGGTGTACCCCAACATCACTTAAAGTGCATAAGGAGGCCGTAGATACGGATCCTCCATGCAAATTTTGAATGAAATTAAACAAATAGATTTTGAGTTATGGCTGCACACAGAAAAAGGGTACGCCTGACGGACGGACATACAATTTTTCAAGTGTAGTTTTTTTTTTTTTTTTTTTTTTTTTCTGGGCACCTTAAGACGCCTAAAAATGATGAAATTTAATTTTTTTTTTTTTTTTTTGGACGATGACAATACTTCCTCTATTCGCGAGGGGAGCCAGAAAGTAAAAATAGCAGGATGATAATTTCTGGTTCCAGAGGAGAGGAGCGCAGAGGAGTTATACTCAGATTCAAGGACTTTCGTATATTCGTGAATGTCTACCTTCGGGATTTCTTTTAATAATTCTGGTTCCATTCTCGTGTGAAAAGAAAACTGCTTGCAAAAATATTTGCACAGTAGCTCAAATATTCAAATAATCCAAATTTTTCGTAAAAGTTCATCAGATGCACGGTTTTGCCAGTACCTTCCCAAAGTTTCGCGCTAAGAAAATCACCTCTTAAATCCATATCGTACGCTATGTTCTGTTTAGCTGAACTTCATTTCACCACGGATTTTCAAAAAATAATTTCAGGTCTCACATATGAGGCTAGAGGCTACTAGTTCCAAAGTGTTCAATGTCCAATTTGGTCGGAATTGAATTAGGAGTGGATTCTTGATCAGGCAACAGAGGAGAATCGAAAAATAATTTAATTGTGAGTGAAAACAGCCAAAATCATTTTTAAATAGCAGTATTAAAAAGGTATAGGTCGCATCAAAACGTACAGTACTCATAAAAGTGTTTTTGCGTTTGTGTGACAAATCATACTTGTATGAATATTGGACATTGTATACTTTGGAACTAGTAGCCTCATAAATCAATAAACAAAATTAAGATGTACGGAAAAATCGCAAATGATGAGTTGCCACTACTTTTATCTTTTTATACAATTAAATAAAGATGATGCACTTACTTTGCTGCAAGAGTGCTCCGTAAACGTACCAAAAACAATTTAACATGGAATTAAAATGTTTTGAATGTTTGAAACCGAAAAAGGCATAAAACGGTGTGCTCCTATGAAAAAAGTATAGAACGGGGCCCATTCCTATGACAGCGGCAAATATACAAAACCAAGTCTGAAAATCAACAAATTAAAGGAAGAAAAGTGAACATCAAGTGGAACAAAAGTGAAAAGGAATTAAGTGAACATCTGGGACATCAAAACTTTTCATTGCCCTAATTAATATGTATTTAATGATCCTATTAATGATATCTGATTATGATTCTACCAAGTGTTTCGTGTTCCAAAATCGAGCGCAACCCTAACAAATGAAAACCGACTTAACTACAAACAATTCATAAGTAAGGAAGTGCAGATACTAAAAATTGGCCTCAGACAATTGACTCTTGGTTGAGGTAGTAGAAACTTTAAAGGAGATAATCTTATCGGAATAAGGTCGAACGAGGAACACTGGAAAAAAACACATTGGATCTGGAGTCCAGACTCTTGAAAACATCGACAAGAAAATTACTCTTGATTCAATCAGATTTAAGCTTAAATCAAGAACCAAGCCTCTTAATTTGAGCGGATTTCCTTTTGATCTAAGCTTAAATCTGATTAAATCAAGAGTCCTTTTTCTTGTCAATGTTTTCAAGGGTCTGGACTCTAGATCCAATGTGTTTTTTTTCCCAGTGAAGAATTCAAGTCAAAAGTAAGTTCAAAGAATTAAGATAAAACAAAAGGTTTAAAGCGAGAGTTGAAGACGCGAAAATAATTTTGAAGTAGTGAAAGAAAGGTGGAAGCACTAGAGTATTGCATTTATTGTGTTTGATAAAAATAGATTCATAAGCTGGAAATGAGTCATCGATGCCTCTGCTGCCCACAAGTGATTTCTTTTTAGTGAAAAACAGCGCAATTTTTAGCAATTGATGAGGCCAGGAAGCGGCAGCTGTTATTTCGTCCGACTTTCCAGGTATTCCAATTCTTTCAATACAAAATTGTAATTTAAAAAAAAAAAATAAATAAATAAACTGGCATTCATGATTTTTCAAACTATGAGGCGTATTAGGTAAATTTAAAAATTCAAAGGTTAGACTGGCGATATCTATCTTATTAGGGCTATATTTTTTAGCAATTCAAAGATATGAATATGTACCTGAATTCTAATTTTAGGTTTAATGATAGTGTATTTGGAAATTCTTTTTTATTTTGACTGGATTTTGACAACCTTAAAAACACATTTCAAACTCCTATTTTCAGCATGTGAACTTGCATGGTGAATAAAATGACCCGTCGATGGCAATATCCATCATGTGCATTCATTGACGATCGATGATAGCTTACTTACCACCGGCGTAAACGGAGACATAAACAACAGAAATCGGCTGGATTCTCGCGGTTTGGCGGTGAGGAAAACGTACGTCTCCAAACTGATGGGGGCTGTATAATTTATTATACCAATATACTGCGGTAGGACTGTGTAAGCGGCTGCCCCAAGGAAAACCTGATTACATAAATAATCAAATTCACTGTAACGTCTGCCGCTATATTTCGAACAAAATTAAGTACATCGTAATCATATTTGAACCCAAACCATTTTCGAAATCGGACGATTTACCATTTTCCTCGCAAAATTAAGTTGAAGGGCTAGGAGGACAAGGCGCATAAATGCAGTTTTTGAAAAAAATTGAGATATTCATGAACTCAACTGAAACTAGTTTGAAATTATATTCTGTAAAAAATTCACAGCTAAAATTGAACTTTAAAGCTCTGTAAAGTGAGTTTAAACTGCCTTCCCGCCGTAAGGCTCCATGTGATTTTGAAACATTAAACACGTATTCTTGAAATAGCAAAAACTGCACTCATGAGACTTGTACTCCGAGCCCCTCAATTATTCCTCCCTTTTGACGGTGTTGAAAGTAAGCTCCGAGATCTCATGGACCTTGGGAGTAATTTGCTCACGTTAACCCCTTAATGAAGTCCTACATTTTTGCTACAAACTCAAAGCTATTTATTTTTATGGGCATGATTCCGTTGGTTGTCCATGATTTTGTTTGAGTTTTAATTTATATTTTCTCATTGCGGATTTCATTGTCTGTTACTAGGGGGTTTTTTACTCTGTCAGTCAGTCACTAAAAAATTGAAACTTTAGTTATTTCTAAGATACCACGGGTAGTGAGATCTTATTTCCAAATAATGCCCATATATCTCATCAGCATGTATACATTGCATGTATTTCTCTTACCCTCTTAGTCCGAACGTACTGCACCATGGCGTTCCAAGCTTTCCTTGATTCTAAACTATCCGGAGCTATATCCTTCAACGCCTGCGCATTATAAAGAAGAAGAAAGGCTTGAGTTTCAACAGGGCCGGATTAAGGGGGTGGCCAAATGGGCCGCGGCCCATGGCGGCAAAATTAGGGGGCGGCAAAGTTTGCAATTTTTTTAAATGCAGATACAAAAAAATCAGATTCAGAAAAAAATTACAAACAAGAAAAGGTGACAAAATCGCTCATTTCCTGAGGGTTCATTAATTTCTAATTTTGTCGTATTTCGATGATACAAAAGACTGCGCACCTTTAATTAGATGAGTTAAGAGAGAAACCAAACACGTAATTTGGCCTGGAGCGGCGCGGCGCAAAGAGAAATGATGACGAGGACTTGAGATGAAAAGGAGAAACCCTCGACGCGGCGCGCGGCGGTCGGCATGTAACACATATTAGCGCCTACGAGACCGCATGGATACTTCACGCATTGCGTCAAACACAGTACGGTCAACAGCGGTCGGTGCTGCGTGAGACGCACAGTGCCTACAAGACTACATGAATACTTCACGCATTGCGCCAAACAGTGTGGTCAGCGCGGCACGGCGGCGGAAGTTAAAATTATGAAACCACATTTATGTTCGTTCTTTCTTAATTGTTTGTTCTTTCTTAATTGTTTATTTCATTTCTTACCAATGAAAGGCCTTGTCCCCACAGTGATAGGTTTACGGAACTGAACTTTCGCGCAAAGTTCCGGGAACTTTTGCTAGTAGTGTTGACAGGGCTTAAGCAAAAAATGTGTCCAACACGAGTGAACGCGTCTTATGCACTCTCCTCCCTCCGACAAGTTCACTCGATGGTTCTTATTGATTTTTCAAAATGAATGAGAAGAGGGCGGCAAAATACAGGCGGCCCATGGGCGGCAAGTAGGTAAATCCGGCCATGAGTTTCAATATTTTTTCGATGATAAATTTATTTTCAAAGCTCATCTGATTCCACACAACATTCAATGTATTACACATGATATTAAATTCTCGCTTGGCTCTTGCATTGTGTACATGTTAACATTCTCCCCTTACAATCGACCATATTTTACTATTTTGCCAAAAAAGCTGTCAATCTAAGTTCAAAATTATCTCCCTTCAAATGCTTGCCCTTTACACTCCGATAACTAAAAAGTCAATACTGATATTTGAAAACTGTTTAAGCAATTAAATCTCAAAAAATCTATTCTCCGGAAATCTGACGTAAATAGCCATAGTTGCTGATCGTCTCATTATATTAACTAATAACTAACGACTTGCTATATTTGTTGAAAATCATAGCACGTAATTTTATTGAAATATTAGATGTAAGTATATAATGTCGCAGGTTTTATGTTGGTTAGAATACTTGTAGGAATGGGAGAAGGGGAGCTGGTAGTGGGTGAACTATACATCTTTATTCTCTTCTTTCCGTATTTGGACCGCGTTAAACAGAAAGGAACCAAGCCACGTCAGCTATTGCCAAATTTAATTGGCTAATTTAATTTCTTACATGAAAACAGTTGTGCGGATTTTCGTGCAAATTCCAGTGAATTTTCTCCATAGTACGAAGCAAATTCCTCAACATTTTCGAAGGGATCCGCACAAACGTTTTCTCATAAAAATCAAATTGTCCAGTTAAAATTGGCAACAGCTGATGTGGCTTGGTTCCTTTCTGTTAACCGCGGTCCATTTATTCATATCAGTATTAATCAAAAATACCACTAGACTGTACTTGGCTCATTAAGTTGCCTTTTACCTTATCGAGAGAAAAATGTATTACAAACCTCATCCTTTGATACTGTTGTCTCATTGGCAAGGTCCTTGTCATTCCCAGAGGCCAACAATACATTATACCTAAAATCAAGATACTTGCATCATATTTTATGCCCGATTCGAGTAAGTACACGAGTGAATGTTCGTAGTAGCGCACGATTGCTCCCGCTAAAATCAGCAAAGATGTGTGATATAATAATTTCCGTTCGATGGTGTATTTAGTGATCATTCTCATTACACATTTTCACCAAATAATGAGACTCATTTATCATAATTGTCTGGAAGCTGCAACACGAGACCATATCGACGGTAAAACTTCCAAAACCACGTATCTCTTTTAAGGTGTCTCAACATATCCACTCCTTTTTTGTTTTTTTACAAGAGAACAAACGAGGGGCTTGGAGGACATGGCGCATAAGTGCAGTTTTTTAAAAAAAAATCGAGATATCAATTATTTTAAGTGAAACTAGTCTCAATGCATATTCTGTGAAGAATTCACTCCCAAGTTCAACTTTTTAAGCACTGAAAAGTCAGTTTAAACTTTCTTTCCACCATAAGGCTCCATGTAATTTCGAAACTTCAAACGTATATTTCTCGAAATAGCAAAAACTGCACATGGGTACCTTGTCTTCCGAGCCGCTCAAATCATCATCATTCCTCAAAGTTTTTCAGAATTTATGCAGTACAGAAAAGGAAAATCACAAAATTTTTTGAGAGTTCACGTTGACTAGTTCTGCAGTCGAAAAATAAAGTATGACAGGAAGTCTTCAACTTATTCGCAAACTCATATACGCAGTTTATGAGTTTTACCGTCACTAGATCATGTTTTAGAAACTCACAAGTGAAGCATCAATCGCAAGTTAATTAGACTTATCTAGCCTGCGTAGTGCGCAATTTGACTCGCGTAGGGTTTGGTTTTTCTTGTTACCGGGCAATTCAGTTCCCGTAACCAATGGACAATAAAAACGTTAATATCTTAGCTAAAAATTGATTTCAGAAGTTTTCGTCGCGCCAATCGTGTTCTGCGTGAGATTTTGTTGAAGAATCATGTATCAAAGTGCTTGAATTCGTAACATGATTTTTCATTCAATCTGAAAAAGCAACCATAGAAAACTCCCTTAACTTTTCCCAGAAAAAATGTTTCATCAGGAGAAACGAGGCAACGAACACGGTGCGGTCGGTGTCAAACTCATATCAGCGCCTGTAAGACCGTAGGGATACTTCACGCATTGCGCCAAACAGTGCGATCGGAGTCAAACCATGTAAGCGCCTACAAGACTGCATGAATACCTCTCGCATTGCACCAAACGCAAAACCAAGAAGTTAAAATAAACTACAATTTTCTGTATTTTAACTTTAATAACTAAGATTTTCAGAGTCACTTATGCAATTTTTACTTACGTGAAATTAAGACGAATGGCGAGCTCGTTGAGAATTTTAAAAATCACTCCACCGTAGGATGAAACGTGCCCCGACTCATTGTAGCTGATTATTTGCCACGGAGGAAACTGAAATACGATGAAAGCAATTTGTGTTATTTTATGTATTAAGTATCTGAAAACCCTCTCACATAATATTTTTCCTGGGCTCTACACAACATATCATCATTAATTTTTTTTTTAAAAAAAAAGAAAAAAGAAAAAAGTAGAGTACGTATACGTGTACCGTACATTAACTAAGCATTCGCATCCTGCCTATTTGTCTACACAAACTATGCATAATGGAGATGTTGCATGTGTGAGGAATTTGCGATTTGACTGTTGATTCTTATGTAAAAGTTCGTGAGAAACACGATGGTGCCACTGGTTTTCTCTGAAATCAACTCCCAAGCTCAAAAAAAGCTCTCAAGTTAAGGCCAAAATGGAGGGGATATCCCACCCTACCCTGAGAGTCCACGTCTACATCAAGACAAATTCTCCATGCAAAGATAGGGAGCAAATACATTAGCAGGGTAGCCGTGTTTTCAGTTTTGGAGTCCCCGAATAAAGTGGCAACCCTGTCAATGTATTTGCTCCCTATCTTCGCATTGAGAGTTTAGTTTGATGTAGAGGTGGACTCTCAGGATAGCGTGGGATATCCCCTCCATTTTGGCCTCAACTTGAGAGCTTTTTTTGAGCTTGGGAGTTGATTTCAGAGAAAACTTGTGGCACCATCGTGTTTCTCGCGAACTTTTACATTTGAATCAACAGTCAAATCGCAAATTCCTCACACATGCAACATCTCCATTAAATACGTGTCAAAATGCTCGTGTTTATGATGAGGGAAGCTTCTTTTTACTTCACTCGGTGCATTCTAATCGCGCACCAAAGGTTTACAAGTTCTCCGAACGGAGGTTCTCCGAACGGAGGTTCTCCGAAGGGAACCTATATCATTGTTATAGCATATTGGCATGAGTTAATTTAAAACTAGTTTTATCCTTGAATTGAAACTAAAATTCAGATTTTACGTATTTAAAAGCTATTTAAATTAATTAAATAAAAAAAAAAATGGAAGTTAGAAGTTGAATACTGACGTGAAAAGTTATAATGGGCAACGTCTTTCCGCGAAAACCTTGGGTGAGATGGGGAAACAAGGCGTCCAGTGTTTTTATACCGTCTCTTGGAGTCCACGTGCCAACATCGAGCAGTTTGACTGCCGATTTCCCGTTCTCTATGAAGTCCTGACCCCATACTTCCCCCGCTTGCAAGGTCCAGCGAGTGCAATTACCACAAACTCCAGACGTGTATAGTTCAGCCTGAAAAAGTGTCAAAACCGGGCCGTTTAGACTGTGTCATAAGGTAATTGAATAAGTGAGAACCAGGCATCGTGTTCGACGTCATGACCAAACAACTTGTTTGGTATGGTCATGTTAATAGGATGACCGAAGAGAGGCTGCCAAAAAAGATGCTTGATTGGGTTCCTCCTGGGAGGAGACGTAGGGGACGCCCAGTGAGAGGTTGGCGACAGGGGGTGTTAAATGAGATAAGAGATTGTCAACTCCCTGATGACCTGTGGGAAGACCGAGCTTTGTGGCGATTAGGCGTCGCACAGCGCCAAAGAGCGCTATAAAAGATATATATATATATATATATATATATATATATATATATATATATATATATATATATACCAGGCTCGGACTGGCCATAAGGCCAATCTGCCATTGGCAGATACGCCCCCTTGGCGCGCCAAAAACGCGCCCCTCTGACAGATAGCAAAATAAGAGGAGAAAAAAAATTACGACCGAGAATATGTGCAGAAAATTCCTTAAATGAACGGAAGAAGAGAGAGTTAGAGGTGAAGAGAGGTGCTTTTACGCATAGTGGTGAACAGAGGTCCAAGAACTCCTTGCTGAATCGTAAACACTTTTCTGTAAAATTGTCTCCTTTTTGTTGACATACAGCCGCTTTATCATCACCCTCCGTCATTCTCTATGTGTAACTCCAGTAGAAACGATAGCCGGTTTGATTTTTAGACATACGCACACTTTATAGACCCCATGAGAGACCTTTAAACTTATTTCTTCCTTTTTGAAATGACTATTGATTTGGACATATCATAGCATATCTCGGGCAAACTTAACCTTAATTTATTTCGAAATTCAAAAGTAAGAGACATCTAAAGTGTAAACGCGATACAACTATTCTCGCAAGATGGATGTCTACATTTCATATGAAAAATGTAAGACGCGATGGCGTGAGTCGGGAACTCGCAATGCTCTACTCTAGTTTAAAGCATCATTACAAATAAGACAAACGGAAACAAACACAACATGGAAAAAGAGCGAGGGAAAGGATGCGCGTCAACGACGGCGCAGAGATACAACTATTCGTACTTGATGGACGTCCGTGCTGCATCTGAAAAATTGAAGGCGCGATGACGCGGAGCGCGAGTTCTCAATGCTCTGCTCTATGCTGCCAATGAGGTGTCGCTCAGATTCGGGAGAAAGTTAAAAAAGAGGCCCGAATACGTCTTTCTTGTCGTCGGCTGTCTTGATACTCGTTCTTTCTTCTTTTTTCAGGTTCTTGTCTGATTCTTTTTTAGGATAGATTTTTAGACCCACGTTTTAAGCTCGTGTAAACTGATGCACTGACATGGTTCTTGTGGAAATAATGGTGCTTGGATGCGTCCAATGGCTTTAATTTTTTTGTTTTCTTTAATTTCAGAAGTCCGTCGGTCACTTCAATACGTTCAATTTTACAATTTTTACTCTGTACGATTAATAAACATTGAACCTAAAAATAGCGTAAACTTGTGCTGCTTTGCAAAATTTTCTGAACCCCTCTCCACGAAGGGGATGCCCCATCAAAAAATATCACATTACGCCCCTTTAACCAGCCAAGGGTCTACGCCCTCAGATGCGAGCCAGTCCGACCCTGGTGAGAACGAAAACACACAAACTGGCCAACTCGAAAATGCTCAATTTTCATTGAAGACAGTAAATTTTCATTACGGTCATTGAAATTAGCGCATCTGTTCCAGCTTGGACCTTTAAAAAGTCCTTCATTACTTGTCTTTCGGAACCATAAATCTTTTCTTCATACTAACTTCTTCACATACCTACTGCAGTTTGGTGTGTGTCTTGATTTTTCGAGTTGGTGTGTTTTCGTTTTCATTAATTGAATTAGTAATTCTCATTAAAATTCTTCATTTTTCTCCATTAAATATTTCAAAAAAATTGTATTTCTGTTAGGCAAAATTTTTCTACGGATCTAGGTGTTTCCATGACTAGGATTTCGCCAGTTTCTTTCCATTTCGTTTAAATTTTTTGGTACGACCCCATCTTTGAACTTTGATTTGGTTAAAGAAAACAACATGCTCTGAAATCTTGTAGGTATAAGTGAGGAGCTTCGAAGACAAGTTGGAGAAGCGGTGCATTTTCCGAAAAAATCGAGATATGAATGATTTCAATAGGAACTGGTTATGAGGAATTTTAAAAATTTACCACTCAAATCAAAATTGTAAACATCAGAGAGTGAGTTTAAACTTTCTCTCCGCCATAAGGCTTGATGCAATCTTGTAAGTTTTTTCGATCCATAGAAATTGATGACAAAAACGAAATGTCACCATCAATGTAGGTTTGCATCGTTGTGCTTTATTTGCGTTATTTAAAGGATGGCTATTCATGATTAGTACACGAATTTAAGAATTTTTTCCTTTTGCACTTTGTAAGGGTTTACCGTTGAGATATGGACCAAAAAGGTAATATAACTTTACCAAAAATAAAGTTAACTGTTCGTTATCTGTTTGACGATTTTTTTTTCTGGATGAAGATCTATAACACCTACTTCAGATTAAACGCTCTCCAATCCTTACATCCCATTTACCAAGAGATATAGACAGAATCTTCTGGAACAAAATATTTGCCGGCGAATGATAAAATTGTTCGACATAAGTCTCTAAAATAAAGAAACTAAGATACAAAATTCACCTTCATATAAGACAGGAGAGATTTTCGTCTATCATACTTGCTAGGTTTGATGAGCTCCCATTCTTCATCGGATACTTGACTTGATAAGTCAGTCTCCTCTTGAATTGCAATTTTATTTGCAACCGACAGTGACCGTAGTAATTCCTCTACGTTACACAATAACCCACCCTAAAACAATAAAAAAATAAGTTAATGATTGTAACATTTTCTCGCTTAAAATATGTACAGTGATTTTAGCGGAATGCTGTGGCGTTTCGGTGTTAAGAAAAAAAGTGCAAGATACCTAAATACGTATACTCTTAAAAATACTAACCCTCTTGGCCTCTTGCCTAAAATGTTAGATTCATTCAGAAGTTCGTTCTTTCGATTTTGTACAGGAACAAGATGATCGAGCTTTTCTCGAGTCTTTTATTAAAACTCAATACAAAACAAAGATAATGCGTATTTTAATTCCCGAGTTTCAAAAGTTCAAGTAACATTTCAATTGAATTGTTAAAAAAAAAAAGAAATAAAATAAATAAATAATTTTGATTTTCGATGTCATGGATTTCCGGTCACAGTTCATTTGTTTAGAGAGAAATCAACGCACATTATTCCTTTCAATTGTACCTTTTTCATGCGTTCCACGCCAGATATTCTGTTGAAATTTTCTCTAGAAGAAATTGGCTTCTTTTTGTAGGGGTATAATAATAAACCGGGGAGCAATAATGTTGCAGGCATCGTTAAAGATAGTACTTGTCTAGTTTATCAGAAAAAATTGATTTAAGTGGAATTCAATGGAGATGATTTCAAGTACCTTACAGCTCTGTGTTCTCATTGAAGTGTTGAATACGAATGCGATGTGTTCACCTTCTGTTAGTGTGTTCACAAAGTTGCTTACGTTGTTATAGCCTTTTGGAGTTTCACACAAGACGAATAACCACTGATTCTGGGGCATGAGCAGATCATAAGCTTTGGCCTGCACAGCAAAGAGGACAAAAATGAAAACCAGTGAATGATCGATTATCGATATTTCCCCATTTGAAGCTTCGGTAAGGAGTCGATTATTAAGGTGTTGGTTGCAAACAGCCTGTTTATCGATTCTTATTTACAGGTTTAAACGGCAGATTAATCGATACATCGAAAAGAACTCCAAGCCACTGGTTAAAACCGCAACTACGACCTTGCGCCTACGCAATAAATTCTTCGGAATGTGCGTACTTTAGTTTAAGGTTAAAAAATGTCATAAAGAGTGGGAGCAATAAAAATTAAACTACAGGGTATGCCCCTGGCCACTCCGCAGCCCAACAACAAGGAAAGCGTCCTCGTAGGCCATCTTCCCGGGCCTCCCTGCGTTAATCTGAAAAGAGCGGGCCCAGGAATAAATATGTCAAGTCAATAGCCACAAAAATCATGAGGATAAGTGATGTTACTGATATTTCCTAGGACGAATAATCATCGATTTGGTTTAAAAAATGATCGAAACACAAACTTCACCACTCCAAATCGATGACCAAAATATGAAAAATAAAGGGGGCCGGGAAAGCAAAGAGCGAGTTTTTCCGGAAAAAAGTCAGTTTCCCGGAAAATCAGTGGCCTTTCTTATTTTTAAAAACTAAATCGAGGAATATCAAAGGCTGGAATCTGATTGAATTTGGCAAACACATCGCCATCATCTCTTATTAGGTTACATGTGATAACGTTGGTCAGCACGAGTCAGTTTGCTAAAAATTTCCTTTACATCATTCCCGGTCGACTTTCAGTACTGATTCCAAAAATTACCTCTGAAATCCTTTCATCATTGCGATTTTTCCCGGAAAAATATGAATTTTCCATAATAAGCGATCATTTCCGGTGAAAAGTCAGTTTAAAAAGACTACCAAAAAACCCATTTTTTTATTTTGGTTGAAAACTAAGTTCATCTCCGGATTCTGCAACCGAAAATACTTCGGCAACTGAGATATTGCATGTCTATTAAAATGCTCCTCTGTTCCTAACATCGAGATTTTTCCGGTTCTGCGAATTCAATTCATACATATCGCATGTTTCCTAGGTTACACCTACCTACGTGCGTCTTGTTCTCCTCTCCTATACTGAGATGTGCAAGAGCATTCCAATGTCGCTAACCTTTGCAAACATAAACGATCATCTAAACTAGTTTCAAATCTACTCCCAATGAACTATGGATTCAAGACGAAAATTACCGTCGCAAAGTTTACTTTTTGCAAAGAATGTTCCTAAGTTGCACAATTCCAGCAACATTGAAATGCTCTTAGTTCCTTTTTGCAAAATGAGATCCAATTTGTTGTTGCTGCAAAAAAATAGTTTCCCACAACCTGCTATACAATGCTCCAGTGACCATGTAAGTTGGCCCGAGCACTAACTTTTCGGGAAGAAAGCCTTTCCCCTACCTGGTTTCTCACTTAACGTCCGCCCGAGTTTCGCATATCTTCCGTTTCTCCTCATTGCAGCTTCCATCAAACCGCAATTGCCCAAAAACTAGGACCGCACATCTTATCTGATAAAATCGTTCGCCCTTTAGACCGATTCTGGGGGGTTAGGCTAGACTAGTCGATGAGTCAACTGTTGATCTAATTTCATTACGTGAACGTGGAAGAGAAACGGGGTAAAAAATCACTGATGTGTGATCAATTTTCAAGGACAATTCTGTAATTTCTCCAACGATTTTAAATAAATTAAAACGCGTAATATCCAAAATTTAAGCTCAGATTCGGATTTCTCGTGAAAAACTGATGCGATTTCATGCATCAAATTTTAGAATACCGTGAAGGAAAGAGGTTTAATGACGTAAAAAAACACTAATGTGTGATCAATTTTCAAGGACAATTCTGTAATTTCTCCTACGATTTTAAATAGATTAAAACGCATAATATCGAAAATCTAAGCTCAGATTCGGATTCCTCGTGAAAAATTGATGAGATTTTATGCATCATATGTTAGAATAGCGTGAAGGAAAGAGGTTTAATGACGTAAAAAAACACTAACGTGTGATCAATTTTCAAGGACAATTCTGTAATTTCTCCTACGATTTTAAATAGATTAAAACGCATAACATCCAAAATGTAAGCTCAGATTCGGATTTCTCGTGAAAAATTGATGAGATTTCATGTATCATATGTTAGAATAGCATGAAGGAAAAAGGTTTAGCGACGCGTATAGATTCTGTCGCACTGCCTCTTTTGAACTACGCCGCCGCGCGGGTCGCCCGAGTGAAACCGAACGGGGAGGCGCCGGCCGGCGCCAAGCATTCGGTTTCATCGCGAGGAATTCCTCACGATAAATTCTTATTCTTCCTCCTCCGCTGACCCACTGAGCACTACCCATGTTGCCACGTTGGATTCATATGCTCGAATCAGTATGTCTACGTTACGTCTCTTTCCTTCACGCTATGCTCGGGTATGATACATGAAATTGTGTCAATTTTTAACGAGGAATCCGAATCTGAACTCCGATTTTGGGTATCACGCGTTTTAAGTCAAATTTTCCAAATTCGAAAATCTGAAATGACTGACGTGGCTTAAAATGCTATCTCGGCTCCTGTTCGATGGATTTTCCTGAAATTCGGTGTCAGGGTATGATATATGAAATCGCACCGATTTCTTACGAGAAATCCGAATCTGAACTTCGATTTTGGGTATCACGCGTTTTAAATAAAATTTTTCAACTTCAAAAATCCGAAATGACTGAAGTGGCTTAAAATGCCATCTCGGCTCCTGTTCGATGGATTCTCCTGAAATTCGGTGTCAGGGTATGACACATGAAATCGCATCGATTTTTTTACGAGGAACCCGAATCTGAGCTTCGATTTTGGGGATCACGCGTTTTAAATCAAAATCTGTCAAAATTCAAAAAATTCAAAATTCGAAAATCCGAAATGTCTTCAAATGCTATCTTGGCCCCTGTTCGATGGATTTTTCTGAAATTCGGTGTCAGGAGGTATTTTTCGACGAGAAACTCGAATTTTTAGTCCATGTTTTAAAATTCTCAAATTCAAGATGGCGGAAGTGGGCTGAAATGCTATCTCGGTTTCTGTTTCGAGTCTTGTGAAACGCGGTATCACACGGTATTTTTCAACGGAAAACTCGAATTTTTAGTCAATTTTTTAAAACTCTCAACTCCAAAATGTTGGATGTGGCCTAAAATGAGCCCCGGTTCTGGCCTCCGTTTCTGTTCGTTAGAGCTTTATGAACCGCGGGATCAGGGGTACTTTTCGACGGGAAACTCGAATTTTTAGTCGACTTTTGAAAATTCTCAAATCCAAGATGACGGACGTGGCCTAAAATGCCATGTCGGCTCCTGTTCGATGGATTTATGCCCCCCCCCCCCCTACTACATGCCCACTCTTGTATTTCTGTACAGCCGCAAATTTAGGGTCAAAGGGCGCCTGACCGTCTATGGACCAGGTGGAGTTTTTGTCCTGAAAATTTACCATCAGACGGCAATTCTCTTTATATTTTGTCTATGGTTTTTATGCCCCCCCCCCTTTCTCGCGGACTCTCTTTTCACTTTTCTTGCCTCCTTTTTCCTTCCATTTCCCCCCTTCTTCCTTGCTTTCACTGCCCAACCTTGTTTCCTTTTCCTTTTTTCCCCCTTGTCCTTTCTTCCCTTTTTTCCTTTTCCTTTTCCCCCCTTTTTTCCCCTCTCTTCTTTCGTGGCGCCCCCTCAAGGCTGGCGCCCGTGTGCGCCGCACGCCCTGCATGCACACGCCCTAAGTCCGAGCCTGGAGATGTGCAGGCTTCTGCGTTCGTCAACAAACAATGGTTGCCTGGGACTGGTTCAGTAGGGAAGGAGGGGGGATGGGACTTAAAGCGTGGGATTAGCCCTTGAGGGCTATTTGAAGTAGTAGAAAAAAAAGAAAACTCATTTGTCCTTATTTCCATCCCCTTTCCCCTTGTCCCTCCACCGGTCGAATGCCCCTGCTTGGCCAAGTACCACCATGTAAGGCTTATCCGATTCTTTCCCCGGCTATATCTTTTCACGGTGGAGAAAACCGGATTCTGCAACCGAAAATACTTCGGCTACCAAGATATTGCATGTCTATTAAAATGTTCCTCTGTCCCTAACATCGAAATTTTTCCGGTTCTACGAATTCAATTTATACATATCGCATGTTTCTTAGGTTACACCTACGTGCGTCTTGTTCTCCTCTCCGATGCTGAGATGTGCAGGCTCCTGTGTTCGTCCACTCATTTGTCCTTATTTCCAACCCCTTATTCCCTTTGTCCCTCCACCGGTCGAATGCCCCTGCTTGGCAAAGCACCACCATGTAAGGCTTATCCGATTCTTTCGCGTCGGAAAGAGGGGGGGAAATTGTCTCTCTGAGGTTCCAAATTGGGATGTTCTCACCCAATTTTTTCCGCTGAAACCAAATTTGACCTCCGTTATGTCTAAAACCTTCGGAAAATCAAGTTTCCGGAAATTGAGGGTTTTCCGAGTTGAAAAATTTGAATTTTCCAAAAATTTGGTAGGTTCTGGGAGAAAAAACGAAGGCCATTTTCGACTTTGGCAGCGAAAATTGGTCGGGATCATCCCTATCTGAAACCTGAAAAAAAACATGTTCCCCTCCTTTCCGACGCAAAACGATCGAATGAGCTGCACCTGTTTGTGTATGGTCGGAAGGGCATTTGACCGGAAGAAATTTGATATTAGAAACAGAGAAGAAATGTTACTTTGCATGAAAAGCACGGTTATTTCCGTATTTTTGGCTGTTAAATCCAAGAATGACCTCATTTTTTCTCCTTCGTTCAATTGATTTTTCGCTAGGAAAGTTCAATTTTTCCAGGGGAAATTGAACTGATCTTGCTGAACAGAAGGAATAATTTTTGGAATCAACGCTAAAAATCGCCGCTTGGACGGCGTGGCGGGGACCGATGTTCAGAGGGTCGCGGGGTAAATCGTACAACTTTATATAAGATATAATAAAATTAATAGAATAAAATCAATTCTTGACTAGTGTAA